AGAATTTAATCTCTATTAGTTTATCATTATCAATTTCTATAAGCCTAATTTAGTCCTCGGGATAGACAATATGACAAAAATAAATCAAACATGCAATCATTGTAAATAATTTGAAGTCAAAAATCAAACAATTTTTTTTTTTTTGACATGCCGACAAAACAATAAAACCAAACAATTAATAGCAACTTCAAAACAGTTTCCAATAAGCAAATATAAAACATTTTTCTCAAATCATAGTTCAATTAAATCCACTTTCGTATTGTCTTTCAAACTCCAAATTCTTTTCTAAACCATTTCAAATAATTTCCGAAGCAGTGTCTCTTGTCGAATCATAGTGTACTGGGTGATCAGGCCATTACACCAATTTCCAACTGATCCTCTACTTCAAAATTTTATAGAGGGGATTTAGCAAACTCAAAATATTTCGTTTATAAACGTCAGTTACCCAGACCTATGTATAATTTCCTATTATTTATGTACCCTTAGTTCTCATCCTAAGTTTCATACAGATTCCATTTCGTGCACATGCGTCCACCGCACTTAAAATGGAATTCAATCCAGACTACATTTCCTGTTGTTGGTTACAGGCCGATCCAACATAGGAAGTCCTAATATTCGATTTCCTAAGTTCCGCAATTGAGCCTAAGGCCCAATTATGCTCTATACCAACTTTGTCACGACCCAGTTTCCGTGGGCCGGACCGCGACTAGGACTGGGTGGGACTTAGGGCCCCCGGAAGCCCGTAGTAAGCTAACTTATTTAAATCTCACATTCTATCATAATTATGGATAAGGCCCAATCTTACTTAATTATAACAATGCATCTGCATCCAAAATACAGTTCATATATTTAATATGGACTTTTATTATTTATTTACGACCCAACTGGAATACAATTGCGGAACTCTATCTTTATATTTACATCATCATTTCTATCATTAACAGTCTTCTACAATAAGTGTTTCAACTCCATATGACTTTCCTTTCTTTCTATTACCTGAAAAAAAAAATAGTAGGCAAGGGTGAGCGCCAAACTCAATGAGTAGGGTTAGATAACCCTCTCACCCCACACAATCACAGAAATGCGAAAATATTTTTATCTGGTCACCGTTTAATTTTATGATCATGCAGTTTGTCACACAAATGGCAATACAACAGCAATCACAAGTATTATCACCTTCATATAATCACATCACGTGGAAAAAGTCACCGAACCCGATGAGCCGTTCCTTCCCACATGGCTCATCCTCTCACGTTAGTGCACCAGGGGAGCCAATCCCCTATTTCTGGACCGACCGGTTTCAATCCTCACACAACTAGTCCTCTCATTATTTTCCAGTCTTTCTCTCTTTTTTTTTTTGTTATTTATTTTATTATTATTAATTATGATTTATAACAGGAGGCAACCCCGGTCGTCTCCATCAAATCTAGATCATCAAGGCGCTTCACAACAGGAGGCCAACCCTGCGCTGCCGATCAAATCTAGATTATTCAGGTGCGCCCAATAAAGAAGCCACCTGTGATTTCAGTATAATCCTCTTCTTCTTCCTTTTTTTTTTTTTTTTATACCAACAGGGAGGAACCCGGGTCGTCTCCATCAAATTGATTTCACAACGCTCACAACAGGAGGCCACCCTGCGTGGGTGCGATCAAGATCTAGATTATCAGTGCGCCAAAGAGACCAACCCGTGGTTTCCAATCAATACAAGATCAGAAACAGTAGTGACCACGGGGGCGCGATTCTCATTACCCGGCTTACAGAAATCAGAATCAGGTCCATATAACAGAAACAGTCTCACCAAACCCAGGGTGACCCACTTCATCCCAATTCCACACAAAACAAGGCCACATTTAATATCCACATCACAGGTAATCAAGCAATACATAGATGCAGCACGATATAGGCAATTCAACAAATTAATGCATGATAACATTAGCCGTGAATTGCATGAATGCAGGTGGATGGTACTATTATCTAACACTAACTCACAGTCTCTTTATTGTTCCTTTAAAGGACTATCTTTATTATTCACGCTTCCAGCATTGTCTCACCTTTCGGAACCTTATAAACATCTAACAAATAAAAAAATTCTACATTAGAGTTATTCAAGAGAACGTTACTATTACCTTATTATTAGTTTTGGTTACTATTCATTTTACTCACATATCTCCAAACTAAACTGTATATTTTTCATATATATAAGTTTCCCCTATTATTATTTATTCTAATATATAGCCCTTTAGATAGAATTTCTAGTTATAATAATCAATAATGATATTCCTGAATGCTGATACATTGATCATAATACCTAAATGTTTTATCGTTACTACTTATTAAAATATAAACTAATTATATTCTTCATTTAAGTGTTATTTTAAAATTCGGCCAGCATTTCCTCTATAAACTGACTATCCAAATTTTTAACATTACAGCCACATTCAACACATTAGCCCACTCCATGGGCAATCACATTTAATGAATTCCCATCCGCCAGTAACCCACTATTCATCCGTCATTCAAATTCACACAGTCCACTATAATTAATTGTTCATGACTATTTTTGTTAATAAAATTCCTAAAAATTTATTATTTAGCTGAGGAATTTATATTTCAGCATCAAACCTTATAGTTATAATTAAATATCATTGAATATATTTAACAATATCTAATTTAATTTACTTTTAACTACTTAATTAAAATTCCATTATTAATTATCTCGGGATTATTCAAAATTGCAAATTTAAGCTTTAGTGTAGGAACCGATCCCGAAAAGGTCGAAAATCGAATTTGATTTCCGTGATCCGCGCGAAGAGGAGAACATTCTGCCTTTGAAGTCCTCGCCGGAGCCTCGCCGGCCGGTCGTCGGAACGCCGCCGCCGCCGTGCACGGTGGCCGGAAAATTCAAATCTTCACCAAAATTAACAAACAATATATCATTTTATTCGTTTCGATTAGAGGATCACTAATATGTATTCAAATCAAGGTGAGTATGAACTATTTGGCCGGAAATTGACCGGAAAGGTTTGGTGAAACCCATTTTGGGTTTTTCGATTCCGGCTATTACAGTCGACGAGGAGGCCACCAAATGAAAGAGGAAGAAGAAGGCCACCAAATGAACAGAGGAAGAAGAGAGGAGTCCGATCAACACGTACCTCACCGCCTCAAGTCATCGGAAACGATGGGAAATCGCTGGAGAAGTTGTTGCAACGGTGCTAAATGTTTCGGTTGAGATTTCTCTCAATCCGGGCTCAAATTGCGCAAACCAAAGTTTAAATAGAACTCCTTGCGACGAGTAGATATTTTTAGAGTATCTATTTGCCGAATTTGACTGCCGGTGGTCGGAGAACGAGAAGAAAAGGGGAGGGGGATTGTTGAGAGAGGAGAGCGAGAGAGAGAGACCACTGAGTCTCTCTTCTCGTTTCTCTTTTCTTTCTTTTTTTTTTTTCTAGAATTTTCTAAAATTTTCTAATTGGTGGATGGGGTTTTTGGGTCCGATTCGAGTTGGTTTGGTAAATCATGGTTTTAGCTTGGTTTTTCAATTGATTTATGGATTTTTATCTGGTTTTCGAAAAATTAATTTGATTTTTGGGTCTGGTTCAATTTATTTGATTCTTTTGTTCAGTTTCGTAATATTTTCTCAATTTATTCATAAAATATTAATAATAAAGATATTTAATTTTAGGCTGATTAATTTACATAGTAGTTACATATATATAGACACATTTTTTTAATCGATTAACAATTAGTGTTCCATTTTATTTTCATCGAAATTTTAAGTATTACCCAAACGAAAATTCTAAATCATATGTTTTTGGGCTTGGGCCCAATTCATAAAACTTTGGGCTCAATTAGAATTACTCGGTCTTAACAGCCCATATTATCATAAATCTGGATTTTTGATTTAATGAAAATTCAAAAGTTTTGGAAATTTATGAAAATTCAAAAGTTTTTGAAAATAAAAATTCGGGGTATTTAAAACGTCATATTATAAAAGATTTTTGTAGTAATTGTAAATGAAAAATTTTTAGTTATTTTTATAATTAATTAATAACAAAATTACATTTTTTTATTAAACAGAGAATTTTATATAATTAATTAATAACAAAATTACATTTTTTTATTAAACAGAGAAGAAAAATATATTTTCAATTAGATGTTACATGTTAAAAAAAATTTTAATTATATTTATTTTAATCTAAATAATAATTTATACTTTAATATTGTATGAATAAAAAAAATTAAACGAATATATAACGAGTAAAAATCAACATGCAACATACGAAATAAAAAAAAAAACTAGTATAATAAAAATTATTTATTTAATTTTTGATAATTGAAGAATCTAAATGATGAATAATTGAAAAATAAACATTTAAAAACTAAGTTCAAAAATATATAATTACAATTTTATATTAAATTCAAATTTAGGTTTTTTAGTTCCCAAAATAGCTTGCTTTGTTAATAGGAGAAAAACCACATACAATAAGAGGTTTTCTGTGTTTTGGAAGCTTCGACAAAACATAAAAGAAAGCATGAACATAGACCTCTCTCTTTATAGACATTTTATTACTATTAATCTATATATATAGTACTAGTTGCTAAAATGAGGATAAACATAAAGGAAACCTATTTCAGTCCAATCGATTATTGACAGTGGAAACATTTTACTTACCATTATTCAACGAGTTATATGAAAAACATTTTTGGGTGCGCACATGCCTACCCTAGGCATGCAATGCTTCTCCCTTGATTTAAAGGATATAATTAAATCCAATCGTGCATGTAAAAAATGCAAATTGAATTAAATTGCCAAAATTATTCATAATATTTGATTCAACTAGCAGTAGTTTCTTATTAAAATTTTAAATTTTCTTAACTATATTATTATTAGTGATTTTAAATTTGATAAGCTTTTCGAATTGCCACTAATAACACACCATATTAAATTCTAGGGTCAGTTTATAAGTTTCTGAGCATGTTATAAACGGTTCTGACCTTCAGATAAACTTAACAGTAAGTACTTAATCACTCATAAACTGCATTAAAAATTTCAATTCATAACTTACAGAACTAATATCATCACTTAAAACCTATCATCTTCCCCCAAACCTTTTCGTATGATCAATTAATTACTCGCTACAAGTATTAATACTCCACCAAATCCACAAACCAAGTATCTCTAACAACTCCCAACTCAAAATGGCTTTCAAAATCGTGTTTCTAATTTGGGGTCTGATATTGGTAATATCAAGTGGATCTGCAGCTAGAGATGTTCCCATGATCAAATCAGGTGAAGACTATGAAAGGAGGCTTGTAGTTGATGGAAGCAGTAGTTTAGTTGATTGCTGGAATGCGTTAATAGAGATAAAATCGTGCTCAAATGAGATAATTCTATTTTTTCTAAATGGAAAGACTGATATAGGACCTGAGTGCTGTCGTTCTATTGGTATTATAACTCATAACTGCTGGCCTGCTATGCTTACTTCCCTTGGTTTCACTGCTGAAGAAGGGAATGTACTGAGAGGCTACTGCGATGCATCTTCTTTTACAGCTCCTGCTCCTGCTCCTGCTTCTGCACCTGCAGCTGTTGCTTCTCTTCTTACTGGTTAACCTAAGAAATAATACTAGCCTTGCAGGCTAACTCCATGGTTTTTTCCTTTTGGTTTGCTTAAGTTTGTGGGTTTTGTTTTGTTTGTTTTCAAAGTTTTAATCTTTATATTTCTTTTCCGAGTGCTGAGTCTGTTATGGTTTTCAATGTTTAATCTGGTTCACCTGAAAATAAGAATAAGCAATTTTTTTTTTTGAGAATCCATTTCATTTGCAAACTCAAAATCACCATTTCTCTACTTAATTAGAATTACAGCTATTTTTGGCTATTCAGAGATTATTTTGATAAATCACGGCCATCCAACTAAAGAACAGAGTAATCAACCAAACTAGAAACAGAGTAAACGTAATTAATACTAGAATCTTGATCAAGGGATTTTTATATTCAAATTCATTCTTGTGTGGCATCAACAATCCAAGCAAAGAATATTCAAGAATTGAACTTTTTACATCAAAAATTTCCAGTCAAACAAGAAAAATTAGTTTCAAGCTCTCTGATTGATTTTTAATGATTTTCTCAGCAACCAAACAGAGCCCACGCTAAATGTATACTTGCCCTGTCTTTTCAACTATGAAACTCACAAACCAAATCGACGAATGTACTTAGCAAACTTTGTATTTTCAATCTCAATGCCGTCATTGCTAAAATCACCATTAAACCCTTGCTGATTCCAATCCTTCTTAGCCCTCAATCCAGACTCCAGCGTTGGAGAACTCGCTGGAGAATCCTGCTCAAACCAAGATACGGGCGTCGGAGAACTCGCTGGAGAATCCTGCTCAAACCAAGATACCGGCGTCGGAGAACTCGCTGGAGATTCCCGCTCAGACCAAGATACTGGCGTCGGAGAACTCGCTGGAGAATCCTGCTCAAACCAAGATACCGGCGTCGGAGAACTTGCTGGAGATTCCCGCTCAGACCAAGATACTGGCGTCGGAGAACTCGCGGGGGATTCCCGCTCAGACCAAGATACTGGCGTCGGAGAACTCGCCGGGGATTCCCTCTCAGACCAAGATATAGGCGTCGGAGAATTCGCGGGGGATTCCCGCTCAAACCAAGATACAGGCCTCGGAGAACTCGCTGGAGATTCCCGCTCAGACCAAGATAACGGCTTCGAAGAACTCGCTGGAGATTCCCGCTCAAACCAAGACGCCGGCGACAGAACGGGTGCATCACCAATGTGGTCTGCTTGCTCCTGAGAATTTGACCCAAGTCCGGCAGCAAGAATCCCATCCAGTCCGTGAACCGCAATACCGGACCCAAGAAAAATATCCGGAACAGATACCCGAACTCCATCCACCAAAATACTCTCGGAAACGGTGTCGTTGTCAAAAGCAAGGGACCTAACAATGGACATACGGTGAGGAGGAACGAGAGTATCAAGATAAGTATTACCTTTGATGCTTCGCAGATCAGACATGGAGAGGTGTACAGGGGAAACATGGCAGAGGAGGGAGTTGACATACACAGCTGCGGTGGAGGAGATGTCGAGAGAGTAAACGGAAGGGTCCGGTGGAGAGAAAAGGGTAAAACTGGTATTTAAGGTGAGGAGGAGGAGGCGGAGATCGGACGTGGTGATGGCGTTCGGGAAAAGAGTGTAGCCTCGTGATCGGAGAGCGAACAAGGCTGAGTCAAGCTCTTGGACTGTAACAATGGCAGCGGTGGTGGTGAAGAGGAGAGAGAGGAGAAGAATCAGAGCCATCTTTTCACTGAAAAGATTGTTCATTGCTGTAGAGAGAGAGAAAATTTCCGAGAGAGAGGAGGTTGGATTTGTTGTGATTCAGTTGGTTTTGGCGGGATGGATTTTTGAGCTTTCAAAGTGGTGATAGAGGGTTTATATAGCGCGATGTGTGTGTTGTCGTCTATCATCTTTGCATGGATTCTTGACCGTACGATCTCAAAGAAAAAAATGTGATCTGCGGCTATGATCAGATTTGATGAAATTTTGCAGCTCTTCCTGGATCGAGTTAAGGCCCATTAGTTTTAATGGAACTATTATATTTGACTGGAATTTATTGGGCTTAATTTATGCATACGCGTTAGTATTTTTACCCTTTGTTAGTTAGGGACTGTTACTAGGGGCATCGAAACAAATTTCATATTTAATGTTTCAATTTCTAGTAAATATCATAAAATATCAAATATTAAGAAATTAATACGTTTGGTCAAAAATAAAATAAAATTATCTAAAGTAACTTCAAATAACATTAAACTAACAGATTTGGTCAAAAAGGAAACGCCGAAAAAAAGGAAATTTTAGAAAAAAAGAAACCCCCCACAAAAAAAAAAAAAAGAAAACATTAATCTTAAAGTAACTTCAAATAACATTTAAACTAACAGATTTGGGTAAAAAGGAAACGCCCGAAAAAAAGGAAATTTTAGAAAAAAAGAAACCCCCCACAAAAAAAAAAAGAAAACAGAAAGAAAAACGACACAACCCCCCCAAAAAAAAAAAAAAAAGAAAACAGAAAGAAATACGAAATCTATAAGAACAAATCCCTATACCATTTATGTGATTCAACAGTATATATATATATACTAATTAACACATTAAATCAAACCAAGTAAATACGGTGTGTATATATATACTATATCAATAAATACGGTGTATATATACAATATATATATAAATATATATTGTATCAGTATCAATTCAAACAGAATTAAGAGTCATACATTGTCTCTATAGAGCATAAACAACATCCACAGCGGTGACAGTTTTTCACTAAAAATTAAGTCGCTGATACACTCATACAAAAATAAATTGCATAAAAGAAATAGAATCCAAAAAACAAAAAGAAAATGTGGAACAACGCCAATAATGTGAAGAACAAATGGTGACTGAAAATAACGAGAGCAAAATAAGAAATAACGATAAGAAAATAATATACGGCAATAAAAAAAAGAAAAGCAACTAAAAAAAGAAACAATAATTAAAATAGGAAATTAATAAAAAAAGAAACACTAAACAATTAAAACACTGATAATTACAGTAAGAAATTAATAAAAAGGGAAATATAAAGCAATTAAAACATTGATTTACTAACAAATTAACACCTAACAAAATAAAAAAGGGCATAAAGGTAAAGATAAACCCAAGCCGACAATAATTTAAATTGAAAAATCAAACTGATATTCTCTGAACATAGTTTCAAAAAAATGACATCTACTAGAATTACCCATGTTACTATTGTAAGTCCAGTTGTCTTAGGCAGGACCAAATGAGGGAGGTAATTATGTCAATGCAATTTCTTTGTAGGTAATTTTCTTAATTGTCACTTTTCTAACATGAATAATAATATAAAAAAGGGACTCGATGGTTAATACAAGAGCAGCTGACCATATGTAGAGCAGAGCTAGGATTTACATCTAGCGAGAGGGGGGAGGGACAAAAATTGAACATGCAAGTTAAAAGGGGTAAAGCAGTGAAGTCACGTTATATTTTTTTGAATAGCCAAAATTCGAGCTTAGTCAAAGCAAGTCATTTTTAATATTTTCTTTTTTTAAGTAAGGAGAGCGATTACTCACCTTTCTATAAACGTAGCTTCACCTCTGACCTTTTGTCGTACAATTTAATTTTTTTTAATTCAATTACAAAATAAATCTAAAACTTTTAAACTAGTAGATGGATCATTCAAATTAGTAACTCAAGTTGGGAAAGTGGCATTAAATAGCATAATAATTTTATTTAATGTTTTGTATATACCCTCCTTTAAATGTAACTTTATCTCCATTATAACATTTACTAAGTGATACAATATGGAAAGTCAAATACCAATAATTTAGGAGAAAATTAAGCCTAAAATCAATAGAGCAGAATATTTTTGACTTTCCTAAACTAATACATGTATATTTGACTTCCTAAACTATACCTGTATACAGTATAAATTTAACATTACGAAGATGAATGAAATAAGAATTCTATTCCTCTAAATTTAACCCCCCCTTTCTTCTATCTTCAATCATGGTATCAGAGCTGGTTCTTCAATCCAGAAGGAGAGAACCAGCAATCATCATCTACCAAAATCCCCCTTGAATTGATCCTTCAAAGCCAAACCAAAATAATGTCAGAAGAAGTGATTCTGAAAACAATTCCAACACGACTGGTAATACTAAATCAACTGTTACCAGACGATAATAGCCCTCCAATTTGCCGGAATCTGTTAAAGCAAACTCTTCCAGACAGATTTTGACAATAGCCCCACAAAATTAACAGAGATAATTTATGCCTATCTGGGCCTCGGTTGGATGCGAGCAAGCAATAGGAAAGGAAAGGGAAAAACAAAAATACCTGTCCTCTAATCCTTCCTCCAATACACAGAATCCTACCTTTCAAATTATGGGATCAAGAGGACCAAATTGTGTTTACCCTGGATTCATTCAAAATATTGATTGCCAGTCTACAGTGTGATAAACTACCCTACTGCCAAAACCTTGTGGGAAGGTTTAGCCACAACATACGGCAGTGGTGTAGATTCGTTACAAATATACGATTTACACAAGAAGGCAAGTATCATCAGACAAGGCAATGGGACTCTTGAAGGGCTGTGGAGCACACTACAGGGGTATTGGCAGACAATTGATCGTAGACAGCCAAACCCCATGAGATGTCCAGAAGATATAGCAGAATTCAATAAATATGTCAATGAGCAACGATTATAGCAGTTTTTGACAGCAATCGATGAGAGGCTGCTTATGCCTCGGTTCGTCGAGAGGCCGCAAGAATCCAAGTACTGAAACCTGCTACCTCCGCGACGATGATACATCATCGGGTGGCATAAGTTCGGGCCTGATCGCAAAACCAGTGAATCGAAGCAGAATGTCTGGACAGCAAAAGAATCGATCAGATTTCTCAAATCGTAGAAGCTCATCACAGGAAGATCGCTTAAAACTTCAATGTTCTCATTGTGGTATGAAAAAGCATACCAAGGAGGGTTGTTTTGAACTAATTGGTTACCCTGACTGGTGGGAGAATGGGAACCGAATTAAAAAGAAAGGTACATGTGGTATGAAAAAGCATACCAAGGAGGGTTGTTTTGAACTAATTGGTTACCCTGACTGGTGGGATAATGGGAACCAAATTAAAAAGAAAGGTACAGGTAAAGCAAATACAGCTTCGGGCAACCAAGAGGCTACCGGCAAAACTGAAAGCAGCGAGAATTGTTGTGACATCCTACCGAGTCGAGTCAGTTCATAGAATCGAGTTGAGTCAGGCCGAACCAAACCCGGTTGGGGTAGAATGGGTTTATAAGTGGATTTACTTGCACTAGAATATTAAGTTGAGGTATTAAAAATTTACTTGCCCTAGAAAATGTAGGTCTTATTTGGTAATTGCACCATACAATTAAAGAGATGGTTGGGAAGTATACGAGCCTTCCATTTGACCTTGCGTTCTTCATTTTCTCTTCATTTTCTTCACCTTCATCTTCAACGTCTTCTTCATCTTCAACGTCTTCTTCATCTTCATCGTCTTCTTCATCTCCTTCCATTCCCTTTCTTTCATTTTCATGGTAGTGAAGCATTAAGGCAACCTCTAGTTGTCTCCAAGTAAGTAGAATATCTTTATTCAACTTCTTTGAGGTATCTTGTGGATTATTTATAAGAATTTTTATTTATAGGTGAAGGAAGTTCTAAGAGTGTAGAGAAAAGAAGCTAGAAGAGCTCAAGCTTTTGGAGTGGAGGTTTGATATCTCTTTTCATTTACCATTTTCTTTGCATGAGAATTTGTGTGGTGTGTTGATGTGGTGTGTTGATAATGAGACCCTATATTGCTTAGTGTTGAGTGAGAGGACTGGAAATGGTGAGAAAACAGGGGAATGTTGAAACAGGTTTTCTGGAAAAAGAACTAGTGACTTCATCTTAATTTTTACCCTAGTAAATGATGGAATTAGGAGGAGTCATAGAAGAGTTATTTGTTCCTCTATGTGTTATCTTTATGTGGGTTTTTGAATCACCCAAATCGGAGTTTCACCCAAATCAGAGTTGTATATTGAGAGATATGACCAAAAGAGTACAGACTGCGCAGGCTGGAAAACGCGACGCGCGCTTGCACTTGCGCGCTCACGACTTTGGCCTGAAGCTCTCTGCCTCTCATTTTGCACATTACGCGCTCGCGACTTTTAAGTGCACGCTCGCGACTTGTGCTCGATAACTCACTGACTCTCATTTTGCCCTTTACGCGCTCGCGACTTGCAAGTGCGCGCTCACGACTTGCATTTCTGCAGCTCGCGCTCGCGACTTTGGTTTTCATGCATTTTTGGACTTCTTTTTCAATGCAATTGGATTCCTTTGCTCACCTTATATGCCTCCAACCATTCTAAAACAAAAATATAACATTAGAACATGGATCAAACAACATGAAAGCATACAATGATGTGAAATTAAGTGAACATTATGATTTATGAAGTTATGAACATGTTTTATGAACATGAAGTTATGACCCTATTACGTGATGGTTATGTTATACTATTGGAACATTATGCTCCATTGAGGTTAGGTAGAAACCATGTAGATAAGACCATGTCGCGACATAGGATAGCAGATCTGCACCTCATACAGTTTGGTACTCTGGCTAAAGGCCGTTGAGTGGATATGATTATAAAGGCCATAGCAGCCAAGCATACAGTATTCATACAGATTCATACAGTTTTTCTTATCACCTCGGTTTCACTATAACCTTATGGAGCTATACAGATATCTTGACTTCACATTGCATGAATCATACAGTATAATAACCAGAAAGAAAGGCTACCAAGGTAAACTGATAGTATCATGATATGTTGCTTATATGTGCCATATGTGTTTACATGCT